CTTAGCTATCTCTTACAACCCATCCGAACCCGCATCTCTCTCCCCCGGTTGAGGCATCCACATTAACTTTCCGCCTCCCTGCAGTAGGTCGCTGCCAGTGAATTGAGCTTAGCTTTTATTAGAGCACATTTGTTAGTGTTATTAATATTTGTACGTTACTTTTATATTTTTAATTGTATTTGTAATTATAATTGTAGTTACAAATTACAATGGTATATATAATTTTAATTATATTTTTAATTATAACTATAACTATAGTAATAATAATACATTTATAATTATAATTCAAATTATGTTACAACTGTATTTATAATTGTAGTTGTAATTATAATTGTAATAGAATTTATACTTATAACTATAATAATTTAATAATAATAATAATAAACACTAATTATATCAGAAATGTTCATATGAGTAGTGATGGAGTATATGGCCCAGGAACCCCCGGCCCATAGACTCCTACTTCTCCCACAAAGGCCCATTAAGCCCAAGGAGCATCCGAGGCCCAAATACAGCGACTCAAGTCTCAAGGAAGCCCAAAGTACGCACTGGGGTGCCTTCGGCCTCCTTGGCCGAGGGCTCCAAAACTTGCAGGATAGCCTTTTTCGGCATACGATGCTACTGGGAGAAAACGACAGAAAGTAGGAGCCTTCGGCTTTGTGGAAAGTAGAAGCCTTCGGCCACACAGAGCCTTCAGCTACACAGAGCCTTCGGCTACACAGAGCCTTCGGCTACATAGGCAGAAAGTAGAAGCCTTCGGCTACACAGGGCCATCGGCCACATGAAGCCCTCGGCTACGCGAGGAGCCTTCGGCGAAAACAGGCTCAATCATCGAAGATTCCCTTTGGAGACAGCCAACCACCGCATTTAATGCAACGTCACATCCACCGCATTCAATGCGGTGAACATGCCACTGCCGGTGCCACCCGATTGATGTGACCCCTCAGCCGTTGGATTGCTGACACATGTACTCCCATTGCATTTATTGCTGCTATAAATAGCAGCTCATTTCTCCTTGTAAACCATCTCAGATCTCACACATTGAGTTCATTTAATAAATCGACTCTCTCTCCTCCTATTTGCTCTGACTTCTCTCTAGTTATTCCTGCAATAACCCCTCGGAAAAGATACCCCCGGGTAGACTATCCATCAAGTAGGAAGAAAAATTTAAACTAGATGAGATAAAAAAGATTATATTATATCATAAAGATTCAAATAAAGTTAGAGAAGTTCAGAACAAATCAAAAAATCAAATCAAATTATACCAGATCTTAAAATATTCGGTCCATAAAAATTCAGACCATATGAATACAACAACTTCTTACTCCGTACTTCTTAGTATGACATGAAAAACATTCATTATAAAAGGGGTGATTTGAGTTTGCATCCCATTTTATTGTGCAAATTGGACTTTGCACCACATTTTTAAAATACTATGTTTTTGCACCCCAACCCCATATGAAAATACAAAAATGCATCCCCATTAACAATGTTGTTGGCCTTTAACATATTCCCGATGGAGGGCTTTTTTGTCTTTTCATATGAGGTTGGAGTGCAAAAACAAAGATTTATAAAAACAGAATGCAAAACCCAATTTCGGACAATAAAATGAGATGCAAACTCAAATTACTCCATTATAAAAAACCTTTCAATTCTATAAGAACACATGTCCCACTTGATTGGATTTTAACTTGGGCCTAGACCCATATCTGGCCTGGCCTATTAACGATCTTTTATTACTTAACTTGGGGCTAGACTCGTATCCGGCCTGGCCTATTAACGCATCTTTTCTCTCGAGCTTTTATTAGAGCATCGTCACTTTCACAGTCTTCATTCCTCCCCTGCAAACCCTAGTCATCCCTCTAATGGTGTGCAGCTTTCGATCCTACCATACACATATTTTCCCGCGATCGATCAATTTGACTAATTTTTAACTATCTTGTTGTTTAAATTTTGATTAATTTTTAACTAATTTGTAACTATGTTGTTTCAATTTTCGATTTTACGAAGGCTCCAAAGAAGGGTGTCAAGCTCCCAGTTGCTGCGAAGAAGAAGCAGGAGAAGGTTGTGAACCCCTTGTTCGAGAAGCGTCCCAAGCAATTTGGTATCGGTGGAGCGTTGCCGCCGAAGAAGGATCTGACTAGGTTCGTGAGATGGCCTCAGGTTGTCTGTATCCAGAGGAAGAGACGCATTCTCAAGCAGCGTTTGAAGGTCCCACCTGCCCTCAACCAGTTCTCTAAGACCCTGGATAAGAACCTTGGTCCGTTTTCTTATGACTTGCATTTTATTACCTTCTCAATGTAAATTCACTTGATCGTCTATGCTTACTGCTTCATTTCATGTTTTGTTAGTCATTTCCTTTGATTATGTTTTTATTTTCGTTCAATGTTGGCTTAATTTTAATCTTGAAAACTTATTAATACTTAAAATACTTCATATTAGCTACTTAGTTTGTAATTTATTGAGAATTTGAATTCAGATGAGTTGCTGTCTTGTCACCTTGAGCCTACCTGATCTGAAAAGTGTCAACTTTTTGTTCATCAGTTATTTTGCTCCTAGCCCAATAAGAATAAGTACTTCGACTGTGCTAGGTTAAGATATATTGATATTTGATGTGAATGATTGTGTAGTGTTGTGGTATTTTCATCAATTAAATTCAGTGCGTATGATTTTGTTTTGTTATGCAGCTACAAATCTTTTCAAGATGCTCCTGAAATACAGACCTGAGGACAAGGCTGCAAAGAAGGAGAGACTTTTGAAAAGAGCCCAGGCTGAGACTGAAGGGAAAACTCCAGAAACAAAAAAACCTATTGTTGTCAAGTTTGGGCTTAAGCATGTCACTTATCTTATTGAGCAGGTTTCAATTCCATCTTTGTGTCTTTTGTAACTAGGAAATTTCTAGTGAAAGAAAATATAGAGGAAAACGGAGCGAGAATTTGGAAAGGAAAATTTTGGGGAAGAGTGAAAAGAAAGTCTCTCAAACTCACTAAATCAATTTTTATGCTTCCAAACCATTTTATTAAATATTTCTACTTGGTCAGACCTAACAAATGTTTTTGAAGTTTCATTTTTTTACCAAATCTAATAATCTCTACATTTTCCGAGATAAGTATTAACATGAAATTCTAGAGTGCTAATTGGCTTTAGCATTGTTTTTAATTTCCCTATATTATTTGCAAAAAAAATCCCTATATTTGTACAAGCTACTGATTTTCTTCATTGAATTTTCCTAGATAAAAATTAACATGAACTACAGATTTTAAAAGCTGGCTGTTTATTAACAAAATCTAATTTGCAGAACAAGGCACAACTAGTTGTCATTGCACATGATGTAGACCCCATTGAATTGGTGGTCTGGCTTCCAGCTTTGTGTAGGAAGATGGAAATTCCTTACTGCATTGTGAAGGGAAAAGCAAGATTAGGCGCTGTAAGTTTGTATTTATTTGGGTTCAATGTCTGTTTACTATGAGCTCTCTTTGGCTGAATTTTCTTAAAAGAGAAACCATTTGCTAGAAGCCTAGAATCAATTTCGGCCAAATGTCCTAATCAAAAGCATTCTTGTTATTCGGCTAAAAAATTAAAAAGCAGATTCAGATTACCAAATCAGATCAGAGTAGTCTTCTCTTTGTGGCCTCATTACTGTTTATATATGTATCCACTCTTAATTCAGATTGTCCACCAAAAGACCGCATCTGTTTTATGCCTTACCACAGTGAAGAATGAAGACAAGTTGGAGTTCTCCAAAATCTTGGAGGCTATCAAGGTATGAACGTTTGAAAGGGGTTTTGATTGCATTTGTTACTGTGAAAGTTCCTACAGGGATTCTGTGTTGATTTTTTTTTTTTTTTTTTTGTGGTGATGTAGGCTAACTTCAATGACAAATATGAGGAAAATCGCAAAAAGTGGGGTGGTGGTGTAATGGGTTCAAAATCTCAGGCAAAGACCAAGGCCAAAGAAAGGGTTCTTGCAAAGGAAACAGCGCAGAGAATGTCTTAATTTTGCACGAGTATTTTTTTTTAATATTTATTGCAGTTTTCTGTTGGAAGGTTTGGACAATGTTAAACAGTTTCAATTTTGATGCGCCTGATTGGCCTTCGAGGTTTGGGTTTTGGTTTTAGTACTATCAAATGATTTGCATAATTGTTTTTTTTTTTTTTTTTTGGCAATTTAGCCTCCTACACTCCTATTTGCTTACTTCACAAGTAGTCCTGGACTCGGGTCCGGGCCTAGGCCTGGGTGCGCCGCCGGTTATGAATAGGTGGGCCCGGTTAGCCACCAGGTCCGGGCCGGGCCTAGGGTCAATTTTTTTTCCCTATTCCTAATTAACCCCCCCAACCCCTCAAACCATCCAAATGGCCCAAAATACTCACCCAACCCGAAAAGTTAAAAAAATTGAAAAAAAATCAAGTCTGGAACCGGGCCCGAACTTGCTGGGCCGGTTCGGCTTTTGGGTGACCTTCGCACCGGGTACCCCTGGGCTGGGCCTATCTGGACCGGTCACTGGCCGGGCCACCGGGCTGGGCCGGTTCAACACAGTACCGGTTGACAATGACTGAAAATAATGACATGCTTTGTATTACGGAGTAGTAAATTTAGGATCTTAAATTTTGACAAATGTATTAAATATCATATCAAATACATTTTTAAAAACAATGGACGTTAAAAAGCCTAAAATTGTGGCATTCACGTGATGACGTGAGGCATGTAAAATACGTAGAACAAGATTTGTTTCGACATTTATTACCTACCAAAATTTGGCAAGACGCCTGTAAATAATGTTTGTGTATCATGTCCAAGCCAAATAATATTTGATGATTTTGACATTTTCACAAGTCATAACTTTCGTTTGCAAAATGTACCCATTTCTTTTTAAGATTTTTGGAACGTTTTACAAAATGAGTATTAGCAATGAAAGCTTTATTTATTTTGAATGACACAGGATATCGAGGGGTAATAATTGAATTTAAATATGATAATAAAAGTTAGATATAAAATAAGAGATTAAGAGTGTCTTAAGTTAATTGCAAGAATAACTAACTTTGTGATGGGGGTAGTGTACAGGCACATCATATTGAGTATTGACAGTAAAATATTACAACTGGTTAAAAATGAATGAGCGAAAAACTTTGAGGAGCTGAAGAGATCTTGGTGGCTGCAAATCTGTAATCGTTTTTGGCATGGCAAAAATCCATCAGCATGACGGGTCATTACCCGCTCTTTCTAAAACACATATACCACATCAATAAATAGAATCTACTCCCTATTTTAACAATAGATGCAGGTTGGTGGTGGTGAAATAGGCCAATTTGCATTTAGAAGTGCTAATGAAGCACTTGGTGATGGTGAAATAGGTCAATTTGCTGTTAGAAGTGCTAATGAAGCACTTTTTCTCTTCAGATGAGGCGCTGAAGAGATATCTTTAGCAGAAGAGGTTCTCCAGTACTAAATACTAATGTAGACAGCATGAGACTAAGGGAGTGTTTGCAACTGCTTAAAAAAAAGCACTTCTCAGCTTTTGGCTTTAAAAAGCACTTATTTACCAAACACTACCAATTTTTACTTTTTCTCGGCTTGCGTGTGAAAAGTGCTTTTCCCTTTTCTATTACACAAAAAGCACTTATTTTACCAAACACTACCAACTTTTACTTTTCAAAATCACTTTTTTCTCAAACACTATCAACTTTTACTACCAATCACTTTTTCATTACTTTTCCAAAAGTGCTTTTTTTTAAGCAGAAGCAGTTGCAAACACTCCCTAAGTGATGCTGAATTTCGGTGTCACCTTGCCTTGTTTACTCACAACTGAGACTCGAAAGAAGCGGCCAAGCTTCTTTTTTTCCTTCAGAGTAACATCTTTACGTGCATTCTCTTGTCCATCTCTCAAATTCAACACGCTGCCTGACTTGCAAAACATTTGGGAAATTGACCCTTTCTGTTTTCCGCTGCTCTTCTCTACGCGCGCTGATTCTTCCCAGGAATGCAGTTTTCTACTCAATATCTGTCCTATTGATAATGTCGACTGAAAAACAGTTGGTGGTGGGTTATCGCCATCGACAAGAGGAAGACCCTTACTAGAGTTCTTGAATTTGGTTGGATTTTTCACAGAAGACTTTCTTTGACCTTGGTCAGATCTCCATTTGCGCATAGCCCCCTCAACTTCTAACTTAGCGCGATTGGCAGCCTCGACTCGGCTAAGTGCCTCTTCTAACGCAGCCTTTCTTGTCATAAGCTCCTCTGTGACTTTCTCAACTTTGGTTAATGTTTCTGTTTTCGAGACATTGGCTTCGTCAACTTGAAGTTCGGCACTAACAACTCTCCTCTTAAGTGTTTCCTCTGCATTTTGAGCTTTTCTGGTCAATGAAGTGTATTCCTCGACTGCAAGGGTTATTCCTTTCTCAGGTTTCATCTCATTGCTCTTTAAGGCATTGATTTCAGCACGAACAAAAGCCTCAGTGGCCCTAGAAGCTTCTTTAATCTTTTTAGCTGCAACCAATCTGCTCTCGGCAGTCTTAATCTTTGACTTTGTCTGTTCAATCTCACACATAGCCTTAAGAACCTCTGATTTTGTCGCTTCTAGAACCTTCTTGAGATGCTCAGCCTCCGAACTCAGCTTCTGAATCTCCCATGTGACATGCAGCGGATCATTATCACAATCTTTGAGTCTTTGGTTCGTTTGACTCACCTCTTCCTTGAGGGACAAGACTTTCATGGTACTGGAAACGAGCCTTTTCTTGGTCTTTTCAAGCAAGACCCTCTCTTTCTCTATTCTTGCCTTGTAAGATTCAATCGCAGTTCGGATGCCCACGAGATCATCTGTTGTCTTGGTTAAGTTTAGTTTGGCTTGTTTCAATTCCAATAAGATGAGTCCGGGGGTTGATGATGGGAACATAATCGAACTACTGGGACCACCATCATTAATCCCGGCAACAAGAATATCTGCATGCTGGAGCTTTGCTTTTAGTTCCACCACGGTATTCATGGTGGTTTCCAGTTCTTCTAGAGCAGAAAGCGTTTCCTTTTCTTTAAGAATCAAATCACTTTTTAACTGGGCAGCTTGCTTCTCCATTTTGGCAATGTCAACCTCATTGGTAACCTACTTTTATCCAGCCAAGAGCACAAAATGAAAAAAACAAAGATATGACAGAATGAGAGCTTATATGTGAATCTAGAATCAATAGACATCAATCAGATGATTACAAGCTTACGACATTTCTATAGTCATTTCAAGAAAATTGGAAACGAGATTTAACTGACGAAAACAAAAGAAAAATCTTAACCCGGTGTTCTCCCATACTTCGCTTCGCTACTCTACTTGGGGTGCAAAATTAGAATATAAAATATTGGGTCCCAAATACTAAATTTCTCAATAGGAAATTTTCGTAGACCTCATCTTGTTGATGTAGACCTCATCTTTCAATTATGAGAATTCTGACCCCAAATGTTTGTTAAATTAAAATGTGGTCTTCTGAGCGCACACTGGATAGGTTCGGGACAGGAACGCACCATCAATTGCTTGGAACAATCAGCTTGATCCCCATCCTTGAACCATTTATCTTTGAAAAATAGACTGAATAGAAAAATGTGAATAATATCGGGCATTTGAAGGGGATATGGAACCAGACCAAGACATTCCGTTCCCAATCAATGTGAACCACACCAGATCACTATTTGAACAGTCCTCGATTTCAGACCGGACCCCACTTTACGCTTGACGCGGGACCACAAAAACATCTGGATTTACAATGGAATTTCTCAGATTTGGATGATAAAAATTGAACCCACATTGAATAATTGAGGTATGTTTTCCATAAATTTTAAACTTCACTCACACATTCTACTTAAAAGAACAATTTTTTTTTTTAAATACTATGGGGGTACGAATGTTTTAGTCTCTTCAGATATATGACACATTTTGTCTTAAATCCCCACAAAATAATCTGTTTTTTTAAACATCCCCTAACATTCACTTTCATCACCATACTATAGAGTTTTAAATTCTTCCTTTTGGAACTTCTGATGACTAACTTCGGAGATAAACATAATGAAGTTAATCATTCACGTTTCTAAAAATTAAAACAGGTCTTAAGGGTCCTATAGAAAATAAAATTACATAGTTAAGGGATTGTTTGATGACAAACAGAGTTTATTAGGATCAGTGGTTAACCAACACAAAACGCAACATAAATATAAAAGGTTAAAAACTAAAAAAAGCAATCTTGAGTTGATTAAACCAAGAAACATTTGAAGGAGAGACTATAATAAACATACTTAAGCTAAAGCACAAATGAAAAATGTGAAGTAAGACAAGAGGGATAGATACCTCGGACTCACGGCCGTACGGGTTGTGTTTGGTGGGCCTCCAGAACCCGATTCCGCCGAATCTGGTGGTAGCCTCTTTGACGGACCCAAACGGAGCAGAAGTGTCGACCACCGACCTAGCAATCGCCGTCTTCTCCATTTCATCTGAATGCGGGTCGCCAGGAGCTCCGATTCCCGCCGGACCCGAATCATGACCGTCTTCCTGTTTCGCTCCACCGGCATCAGAAGCGGCGGGTACACCGGCGACATCGCCATTCTGCATTTGAGGATCCATCTGAAGTGAACCGACCCGATAATCCGAATACAGAGCGACTGGGGTGAAGCTAGACACCACAGAACCACGACGATCGGGCAGTAGAGGAGAACATTTGCGGCGTGTCGTTTGGATGGGTCGGGCAATAAATAAAGGCTTAATTAGTGGGACCAAAATCATCATTTATACCGCGATGAAAGGATTTTAAGGTGTTCTAGTCTCACAATATATGGAAAGAAAGAATTTAAGAATAAAGTGTTGAAAATTCGAAATTTCATTATTTGACTAGATGAAGTGAGGTGAACATTTAAGTTTCTCTTTAATTTCGAGAAAATTCCTCATATGGGAATAAACTATAATCCAAGTGCTTATATGTGACTATCGTTGTTTTCTTTCTAAAATAAAATACGAAGCAGAACTTATTCACTCATCATAAGTGAAATTTTATACTTTTAATATGATCAAATAAGTTATATTTTGGAAATAAGATACATGTACGTAGTTCTATTTGTGCATTTCGTCTAAATTTTAGTCCTGTTGGAGGAATTTCTATTTAATTGTTTGGGTCTTGATTTGAATTGGATTGACACAATGGTTATAGAATAAAAAATTACCATGTTTCACCTTCACACAATTCGATTTAGTTTGAGTTATATAAATTTTGAAGGTGATAAGGTTTGATTGATTTTTGTAACTCAAATTTTTTAGTTTGGTTATTTAGATTGATTCCAGCTTGGTTTAAAATTTTAATAGGACTTGATAGACATATCAAAATGAAGTTAGTAAAATATTACTATCGTATAAAAGCCGTTTGCCTCAAGAGTTGGATATTGACCAAAAAGTGATGTTATTATACCTATACTATGAGGTGATTACTTGGGAATACTTTATAGTTTATAGTTTATACTCCCTAAAACATTTTTTTTATTAAACAATTTTTTTATTAATCATGACAGAATATGACCTTTTTAATTGTTGTGAATATCTTATTTAGACTAATTCTAATAACGGTACGAGAAAGTGTTCAATAGTTTAAACATTTATTTATCATTCCACTCTTTTTCCTGTTATCTTCAATAATTTTTCTAGGTTTTATGATCAAGACCAACAATTTAATTAGGCAGACATATTCTTTTATAAGTTTAGATTAGACATTCAAGATCTTTGAATGTTTTTTTTATAGTGATCAAAATGGACAAAGAAGTGATATGCAAGTACAGGCCATCTTGATTTTAATTTTTTTACTTGCATAATGACCGAATACAGGAATGGAACTTCTGATTATGGGAAAGTAATCTTCCCATAAATATACAAAAAATCGAAGTAAGGCATAAACATGGAAATAACCAAGGAAATTAGTAAAATACTCTCTCCGTCTCATTTTACCTGTTTTATTTTTTATTTCTATTTTTTGCTTGTCCTAAAACAATATCACATTTGCATTTTTGAAAAAAATATGTGATCTACAACATTTTAACTTATTATACTCGAATCTCAATTATAATTTTTTAGTGCGTATATATCGAATTAAAGTAAGCCATCATTATCCTTCACTGAGTCATTAGCAATTCTCGAAGCTATTCTTGTTCAACCCTAACAACTAACAATAACAATAAGATCAATTCGAAAGAAATAGTATTTGTGTTTTCAATTATTTATTTAATTTATTTATCCTCTATTTGTGCATTCTTTCATTCATTTTGTGTTCATTCATTCGACAAGTGAGTGGTGATCATTCTCCTACTTTACCCGAGGAAATGTACACAGTTCATATATTTCAGCTTATTGGAAATGGAATAGAAAGTTGAAACACAATAATTTATTAAAATACTGTAATAACACACGTAATACATTGGAACCGAATCAAAAAGTTTTAGCCTTTCCAATACAAGAAAAACCAAGCGAAAGAATTTAGTTCTCCACTTTTGTGGATAACATCATAAACTCTTTGTTTAAATGTAAAAGATACAGAATTTGATCACATTGCATGCATCTATTGATCATACTTAAACTTATCACAATTTAATTCACCATCCTACAATTCTTCGGAATTTGACCATTGTTCCCGGTTAGTGGTTTAATATTACCCAACTTAATCATAGACTAAGCGAAATCACTTGAAAAAATGCGAGGGTTTCCTCCATATGTCCGGACAAGGCTATTGATCATACTTAAACTTATCACAATTTAATTCACCATCCTACAATTCTTCCGAATTTGACCATTGTTCCCGGTTAGTGGTTTAATATTACCCAACTTAATCATGGACTGAGCGAAATCACTTGAAAAAATGCGAGGGTTTCCTCCATATGTCCGGACAAGGCTATCAGTCTGACCACCATTTAATAATTGTTGATCAGAATGTAGAAGTCCTTTGTTTACCACCAAGCTATTAAAATATTTTGTGCCAAAAATGGCAGGACCGGCATCAAGAGGAGCTAGGGTTGAATCGCCCCCAACACGTGGACATATAGTTTGAAGTTGTGCTGCAAAGCCCTTGTCAATGTTTGTATCATTGTAGATGTGATCTCTAAAGTTCTTACATTGGGCAAAGCCTAGAGTATGGCCACCAGAAAGTGCGACTAAGTCTTTGACGTCAAGTCCTTGCTTTGTGAAAGAGCTTATCAATGCAGGCAAATCCATGAATGGTGCAGGAATGTCACTGTCCGCTGTAGTTCTACTAGCGGTGGTGGAATCCCTTCTCCCGAGTGGCACTATCCAAGATGGACCTCCTAACTGTAAACATAATAAACCACACATAAATAAACATAAATAATTCGTTGGTCCAAGAACTAAAGGACTTTGGAGATTGTACTATAGTACTCTTAAATGACTCTTAAATGATTTTAAAGTTATGGGCAAAGTATGACTAAATAGGATTAAACTATGGATCAATGGGCTAATAAATAGAAATAATTACTTTTTATTCTCAAGATAAGACTCTTTTAGTCGTAAGTCGTAACATAAGAATAAAATGTGTTTTAACATACTCCGTATTGTATACTTGGGAAATAATGAGTCCTAAGTATACAAACCTAGTTTTAATGAATAACTTGAGAATATAAAATCTCATATAATTAGTTTCAAATTCGAAGTATAAAGAAAAAGATGTAAAGATCTCCCAATCCTTTGATTACTTTAATTTCATGGTAAAAATGAATTACCGCAACTACGGAGTCTCTGGCAGCGACGGTCAAAATGTCAGCGCAAGAGACGACTGGGCCATTACACACTTTATCTACTTCTGACTTTATTTGGTCAATGACTTCAAAGCCCCGAGCTGAATTGGCATTGGGCACAGCGTTCTTTTCACTGTCAATGGTGGAAGAAGAATCCAACAGAATCGATCCATCACATCCCTATATTAATGATTTCAAGAACATAATAAGAAAAATTATCATCATGTAAATCATCAGATGAAACCCAAAAAATCAAATCATTCCATAAGTTATGTTCATCATCGTAATAATAAGATAGAATGTAAAATCTTTTGATTATCTTACGTTAACGAAACAATCGTGGAAATGAAGACGCAGTAAGGAAGCGCCCATCCGGCGCTCTTGTTTGACAGCGTCACACACGACGCGCCGGATGGTCGGGAGAGCCTCAGGGCACACATTTTGGTAGAAATATGGGGACAGATTTTGGGAAAACCCCGTCGTTGCTAGAGAGCAAAGGAGAGTTGACCAGATGATGATGAAGTAGCTATTGGAAGCCATTAGTGGAAATGATGGTATACTTCAGCGAGCTGGATTATGTATGGATGGATTCTAGCTATAATTGAGCTGTTTGGAAGTGTTTTTGGTGATATTAGCTTTCATCCACGTATATATGTATTTATAGAGGATATAATATCTTAGCCAAGCTAGCTACCAAGTAGAATAGTTTGACTAAACCCTTCAAGACTTGGCCTTGTTTGGCTCTGCAATAAATTCACCAGGCATGGACCCTTTCAACCAGAGCGGAAATGGTTACCCATTATTAACTTGACCAAACACGTCGTCGTCTTATTTACTACTAGTACTTGTTTGATTAAGAAGTCCATTAATTCATGGCTATTGTCAAGTTATGAAGTTCAGGTAAAAGTGGTTGTATGCCTGTATTGGTTGATACGGAGTATATTTTAAAATACTTGTTATTAATAAATAAAATAAAAAATTATACGCAGTATGATAAATAGTTAAAATTATCCTCTTCAGTAACTTCAGCTGATACAATCAGAAAATTAAATCCAACCTTACTTTTTTCTATTTCTCTGTATTACATAGTTTAACACTCAAAATAAAATGTTACGTACTTGATGAAGTACTTGATGAAAAGATTGACCGAAAAATCCAATAAGACAAAACGAGGGGCCACCAAACTCACTCTTAATTTCTGATTGAGAATGCATATAGGGAGTATAAAAAATCAAAGTAGCACTGACTTTTGTTATCAACTTGCACGCCGGGGGTATAACCGACCTTTTGAAGTCGCAACGTACAATTTGAGGTGTCATACCATTTTCAATACCAAATTAATTACGGAGTAATTATCAATTACTTGTAGTATATATAGTGTGAATTGAAACAGTTTCTTTTAATTTGCATGGGTCTCATGTGATTTGGTTATGACATTCGACGTTTTTATACTCATCATGAAAATACGATATACTTTCGTACTAAGTTGTATGATGTACTCTAGAATCTAGATCGATTATTTTACTAAATAATTCCTGCCTCCGGTTGCAAACGCCTACGAGCGATGAAGTATTCGGGAAATTTTCCGTTGGGTGAATTTAGATAACAATTTAAATAACAGAAGACTATCATATTTTTTATTCTCTGAATACTAGTAATCTGCCAAGTTTGAAAAAAAATGACATGTTTAAAACCTACTAATGTCAAACTTGGCAGAAATTTACTCCTATTAGAGAATACAAAACATGATAGTCCTATTTTGGAATTTCAAAACATTTTTACTCCTATTTAGCGAATTCTCCCTCTAAACAAACGTTTCATAAGCAGCTGATCACATTATTACAATTGTTTAATTAAACTTAGTTTAAGTGACAACTTTTCATGTCCAGCCGGCCTGACGGGAACCGCCGTCCGGCCGAGGGCATTACGGGCACTTCTCGGTGGAATTTTTTGATGAAATATTTTGAGCATGTTCTTCATGAAGTCTAGTTTATCCATACCAAATTTTAGCTACAAATTCAATCGGGAAGACAGTCAAA